ACTCAACCAAACTCAGCCAAACTCAACCTGAGCTACAACTCCTCTGGATAGATGTTCGTGAAATCTGTTGGATACAGCAAGTGCAAGAAGATGTCCAGGATCTGTTGGGCCGCATCCGTCTGCCCCCGCTTGGTCAAATAGATCACCGCCATGGCGTTGTCGTAGACGTCACAGCGCTTCCGCAAAGCCTCAAAGTCCTGTGATGTTCTTGAACCATTTTTGGGGGGATACTGCCGGGGATACTGTTGTGGCAATGATTGGGATATACATTTCCCAAAATTGGGATAGTTTAGAATCGCCATTTGGGCAAAGACCCACCAAATTATCATTTGGAGGATCTGAATCCATCCAGTTTTGGGGGTTGGTAGCTGCCTCACATACCGTACCCAGAAAACCAGGCAGCCAAACACTTGCGCGGGTCAAATTTCCCGAATGTTGGATTGACTCAATGCCATGAACCTCGAATTTTTGTGGAAGAGCTGCATTACTGCATTTTAAAGAAACATGATATCGCATGGTCAAACCCAATTGCACGTGCGTACAGTCCCACCGCAACCTAGACTTTGCGAGTGGCACATATTCTTCGGATCATTCTATGCAAGCAACCTGATGAACGCACTCAAGATTAGATCCCCCGATCACCCATCATAAAATGTCAATCGCCGTTTTTTAGACCAACCAGTGTGGACTGACCTTGCAATAGTGCAGCAAACGACATATTTCGAAAACACCTCGGTTCCAGTCAGCGAAATCCACTAGAAAAAATCGAACGGTGCCACTGGCTACACTATATAGTTTACATGTTAGTTTCTGTATTTACAATGTTATACAATTGCTCAGTGCCAAGCAAAACCCCACCATCCAGACCCAATCCTTGCTGAGGTCACACTGTGGACAATCACCACCTTCCAACGGCCTCTGATAGGTTCGGTAGAGCCCCAGGCTTCCTTTGGGCGCCGTTCGGAAGAACTCGTCCTCAGAAACACTGGGGCAAACCCGTCAAGCATCGAAAACTACAGGTGGTCCAGCCCAAAGAAATATACCGTACACTGCATTATGATGCATTATGTATATTGATGGCTGTTCTTCTTGACTTATATCATGATCCCTTTATTGAGCTATCGAATGATCCCTTTTTATTTCAATCTGTTACACTACTGTTCCCGATTTGGCTATGCACTTCCCATAGGCTCAAAGGGGCAAGCGGGGGGGGGGCATGATTCATGCATTCAAGCATCTACAAGTTCAAGGCATTCCCCTTGTCCCGGGCACGGATCGCAGTTCACACATTGGGGTGTCGCCGGTCGTTCGTCTGTGTGGTTGCTCTTTTGACTCCCTTGCTGTGACCACCTGGAAAGTTGGGTGCCACATTAAGAATGTCATGCCACAAACACTCGAGTCCAAAGAATTTAGATCCAAGAAGTGCAATTGGCAAAATCATGCTGGCATTGTGCTGTAGTTCGATCAGCAACATCAAAAAACAAAACGTGACTGGAAATAAACATCTATTAACTTGTTCGAACTCATGATCCTCGCAAAAATCCTCAGTTTTCCAGCGGCCTTTGTGTCACTGCATTGGCTGCAATGTTCATCCCAGCCCAAGGGGGTCGCAGCAGAAGCAAGACGAAGAAGCTGCAAAGGAGGACAAGGGGAATGATCCAAGGAGGTAAATTCGGTGCCAAACGGGGCGTCACGTTTTGCTCCTCCATGTCCTGCCAGCATATCTTGGTGTAGTTTATTTTAGCTGCAACTTGCCCATGAAACTTGCAGTTTCTCAGTGCGACCCACAAGATTGATTCCTCGCCCAGGTTGCCTGGGACATTAGGACCCCGAAGTTCAGACAAGCAAGTAGGTGGCGAAACCAACTCATATTGCATATATATATAATAAATTGTATTATGTTATGTTACATTATGTTATATTATATTGTTGTATTATGTTATATTATAGTGCTATAATATATTGTATATATTATATTTGTTCATAATGTATTATATTTATATATAATATTAAATGATATCTTATTTTATATAGATAGATATATATATATATATTATCATTATTATTATTATTATGATTATTCTTCTTATTATTATATATACATGATATACACAATTGTGTCTGTACTTGCATTTACGTTACTTCGACGTTAGTGAAGCGCTAGTACCTATACTTATAATTACTATCGATATACTAGCAATGAACTCATGTATGCATTTATGTATATATATATACATACATATTTATACTTATTTTTTTATATATTCATTTACTTGTCTATTTAGTTATATACATATATGTGTGTAATTGCTCACTACTTTGAAATGTGCACCTTAAATGCGTTGCTTGTTCTCCCTGGACTTCCATCCTGCCCAATCATTTTCTGGGGATCGAAAACCAATGCAAATCAAGCTGCACGTTCTCCCAATTAGATTTTTAGTCGGTCCACATGGAACATAGCCAGTCACACCCAGATTCAAGGCTAATGGGATCTAATGGGATAAACCCAACAATATCCAACAATAGACCAAAACTACTCTAAAACATCCCCTGCGACGGGTAAACCCACCAGTAGATTCATCTCCACCTCCATCTCGCGTGAATTCAAAAGCACGGCACCGCGCGGGGGTCGCATGGAACTCATGGCCACTCTTCCAGGCTCTGCTTTTCCGAGCACCGCGTAGGGGGTCCTGTGCCCCTTCAACGGGGTCGTGTGCCCCTGTGACTGAGCCAAAATGACTCAAGTGGCGCACATAGGGCACAAACCTAGCTCACTTCGAGAATTCTAGAACCATCTAAAGCTACAGCGACGAAATTCAGCGCGGCCTCCAGGACTGCTGTTATTGGAAACCCACTAGGTTGAGATATCTGAAAGTTAGGGTTGCTTGGCCATCACCTACATCCGTACAGAATGCTTGGTCGTTTCAATGCATCCAAAAACTAATAAGATCAAGCGGGATGATAATCCCCCGATTGAACACACAAAATATTTGACACCGCCGCCCAAACCGTTGCTCATATCCCCAGAACTTCTTGGCGTATTGGTCTGTATATATAGTGTCGTAGTACCATATCCAAAAAATATGATGAAATGATGATTATTGATGATTGGTTTTGTTCTATTGCATTCCAGAAACCTCTGACCTCCACCCAGCATCCACAAGCGCTGCACCTTGCAATTCGGAGCTCTCATCTGTCATGGCTTGCAGGAGGTTCTCCCTGCATTAGCGCTGAGTTTCAGCAGCTCAGGGGGTGGGCAAGGGTTAAGGCTGCCAATATGGGTTTGACTGAAATAAGGCACCCCCAAATCCCATAAAATATGTTAAAATATCATAAAATCCCGGACATGAGCAGCATTTGAATTGCGGTACTAATTCAAACTGCCACTTTGGGGAATGAGGATTGAATGATTTGCTATGATTTACTCCTGTTTTGGGCTGAAGGGAAGCCTTGCAGTGAACCCAAGAGTGGTCTCCCAGATCCACAGTTTCACGATGCGAAAACCCGCGCCTTTCCCTTTCAACCTCGCTCTTGTAGCGCTTCACAGCAATATCCTGCTATGAAGGAAGAGTCGGATGTGAGTTCTGGAGCTAATCAGACCACAATTCAGACCATAGTCAGACCATAATCAGACCTGATCATTGTCTGATCCCGTTATCTCGATATATGTGACTCCATCTTGGGCAGATCCAATAACCAAAAATAAGGCATCCATTCACGAACGCTGGTTGCCACTATGGAAGGTCTTATTAAACATCACTAAGTTAGTGTCACTAAGGTATTTATTGCAGGCCGCTTTCTCCATTGCAGTGGACATATGTCAACTCCTAAGTGAAAGCTGCTCCAAACAACCCCTATCATAGCCTTCTCACTCAACTTGGCATTCCTCGGGCATGGGTCACGGGCATACGACGTGGGTGGAAAACTGAGTTTCAAAATTCCCGGAGCTTGCAGCTGTACTCTTTCACCAATCAAATACAGTGGTTCTCATGATACTGAATGTGTCACCACGTGTCACCCTCAATCTTGGAAGACGTGTAGGATTTCCAGTGCAGTCCCTCCGGGTAAGGGTTTCCACCTTGTCAAGCTGCCTGTCATGGATGCCTTGTGGAGGTCCCATCCACTCAGCCCACCTTTAAGTGATCCAAATCAAGAGACATCATCACACCTTTTTCTTCATCTTCATCTTCATCATCATCATCATCATCATCCTTGTCGTGATTCCTTCTTGCTTGTGCAAATGTCTTGCAACAAGCCACAGTTGCGCAATCTCTTCCTGAAACTCCTTCACTTCATCTTCCTGCCAGTCAGCTTCAACTGCTGTGGGCATCCAAGTTGAAGCTTCAAGGACAGAGGATGGAGTTGAGTTGAGATGAGCTGAGCATCAAAACCTACCCCTTCCCCTCATCGACGGAAGTTTAGAAGTCAAACTTCCGACAACATGGAAACATGGACAGATGAAAAGCAGAGATGGGAAGAGTCAGCGAAGAGAAGAGAAGAAGAAAGATCAAGAAAGAGAAAGTCTCAGAAGAAAGAAGATCCAGGTGCGCGAAAAGGTAGGAAAGTCGCGAAACACTCCGTTTTTCCAATGATTTGTGGCTCCGGAGGGTCGAAAAGTAGGCTCGCTAAAGCGGCGGGTGCGGAGCCCGCTGGGCAGATGAGAGATGAAAAATTGCATGCCGTTGTGGCGCAAAGCACATTTGCAAGTGAAAATGTACAAAACGCACCATTGTCGGACCACTTTTGGCAGTTGAGATGTCGAAAAAGTGCACGCCGTTGTGGCGCGAAGCAAATTTCGAAGTCAAAATGTACAAAAAACACACCATTCTCGGACCACTTTTGGAAATTGAGATGTCGAAAAAGTGCACGCCGTTGCGGCACGAAGCACATTTCGAAGTCAAAATGTTAAAAACACCAGGGATTCGGACAACTTTTGGACGTTCAGATGTCGTTCCGCGTGGCAGGTGCAAGGGATTTTGCACCTGGTCAAAAGTGAGCAAAACGTGAGGGTTTTGTAGCATGTTCAACTACAACCACAACTACACCACACTACACTCCAATACGCCACAACTACCACTACACCTTCACTACACTACACTACACTACGCTCCACTACAGTCCACTACACCACACTACACTAAACTCAATTACACTACACTACACTACATTACACTACACTACATTCCACTACGCTACACTACATTACACTACACTACATTCCACTACACGACACTACATTACACTACACTACACTCCATTACACTACACTACAACTACACTACACAACATTCCACTACAGTACACTGCACTACACTCCACTACACTGCAATCAATTACACTACACTACACTACATTACACTACACTACACTACATTACACTACACTACATTCCACTACACTACACTACATTACACTACACTACATTCCACTACACGACACTACATTACACTACACTACACTCCATTACACTACACTACAACCACACTACACAACATTCCACTACAGTACGCTGCACTACACTCATGATCTACACTACACTACACTACATTACACTACACTACATTACACTACACTACACTACGCTAACTACATCTACAACTACAACTACAACTACAACTACAACTACAACAATACTAGATTTACACTACGCTACACTACGCTAATTACACTACACTACACTACACTCCACTACACTACAGACTACACTACAGACTACGCTACACACTACACACTACACACTACACACTGCACACTACACACTACACACTACACACTACACACTACACACTACACACTACACACTACACTACACCACACTACACTACACCACACCACACACCACACCACACCACACACCACACCACACCACACTACACTCAATTACACTACACTACACTACCCTACCCAACATTGCATTACATTACATTACATTACAATTACACTCATTATACCACCACACATGTAACTGCAACTACACTACACTAATTACACAACACCATAACTACAACTCCACTACACTACAACTACAACTACAGCTGCTCGTCACCACACTACATCCAGCAGTTGTGGGTGAGGTGACCGACCAGGTGACCACTGCAACCATTGCAGCCACTCCAAAAAACACAGCCCCAACCACCTTTCGGTCCATCAGCGGATTCGCTCTGCCATCCGTGATTCACAACAACCAATCTCTCCTTGTGCGGTACTACTGGTATAATATTGAATCCTCCCGGGAGGAGATCATGTCAATCATGTCATTTTGGGGCCCAAGTTGGGGGAAGTCCAGATTAGCAGGGATGGATTATATTATACCAAATTACGACAGGAACCGTTCGTAGCTCCCATCTCTGCTCCTTCTCACGCTCAAACTCTTCAAACTGCTGCAGCATGTCCCTGGCATCTGATTCCAGCCTGGCTTTTTCGGTGAAGGATGGTCAAGGGGATTCCCAGCTCCTGGATGATGATTACGATAATCCCCAGTACAAGGGCAAATATATAAAGGGTAGTGCAAGCAGTATAACATAGAATAACCATGTATAACTTGTAACTTCTAACATCTTATAACTCCCTATATATAATTATCAACCGCCATTTTCGAACAGTGTTCGTTTGCAGGGACCAACCAATGTGCTCATTGCATGTAGGGTGCTGAGTGTTCTTCGCGGCCAACTCGGTCTCTTCACTCTGCTGACAGCCTTAGCCAAAGGCTATCTCCGAAACCACTGAAACCCAATGACCCACAGGTATTTGCTTGTGAATACTGCGGCCTGGTGACGTCGGGATTCGGCCTCTTGTAGCAGCTGTTGGTTCCTTAGTGATCGTCAATGTGAGCCGACACCCCCTTGTCTTGACACTAGTGCATGTGCCAATATAATGTTGATGCGACCATACGTGACACGGAATTGAAAGCAAGACAGCAAGACATGAATGAACATAAAACTATCAGGGCACGTCCAATCGTGCACAAAAAGTAATGAAACATCCAGTGGGGCTTGACCAAGCTTGGGCCTTCATAGTTACGATGCCATGCCCACAAACTCTTTGAACCTCTCAACTACTCAAGTTGTTGTCTCCAAAAACACTGTGCCCAGCATCTGTTGCCGGAGCTTTTGGATCTCTTGTAAGGCACTTTCCAGGGTGATGTGGCCATCCTGGATGCCAAGAAACTGAAATTATGTGGAAAAGCTGAGCTGGATGGATGTCAATACGTTGTATTTTACATATATATATATATATACACACTAATTTAACTGATTTTATACGTAAGTAATACTACATAATACTACTATACAATACTATAAAATACATTAAAATACTATATATATATACAATTATATATATATATATAAATTCGGGACAAGCCCCACCAGGAACTCAAGTTCACAGCTTGCTAGGCGATCCATTCAGTGGCCATAGGACGATGCTTCAGAAGCCCAAGGAGTTTGGAAGTTCACTTGATTGATGGCTGCTTGACTGCAGGAGGCAGCAGGTCCAGCACGGTCAGATCCACCATCTTTATGTCCGGTACAGTAGCTTGGCCCCGACCCAAATGCTAGCGGCCAGAAAAGCATCATGTTCAAAATTTCACCTAGACTAACCATTCCCTATCTCCCAATAACTTTCAACACCTCCCAATATCTCCCAAAAGATCTTCCCCTCAGCCCCGACCTGCGGGTTGGATGGAAATCGCTCCCCTTCCTCCGCCTTCACCGGTACCACCACTGTGGCCACAGGCACCGCATCTGCTGCGGGGGGCGTCTCGGCGGGTTTGCTGCGGACGATGCGCGTAGGCGACAGGGGCGAGTGGTTGGGCGACAGCGGGGGCGAACGATTCTCCTGGAGGGCCCACCGGCGGTGGCATCTTCATAGGGCGTAGATCTATAGGCCAAAAATATATATATAGAGAGAGAGAGAGAGAGTGACGCCACCCGGTCCCCCAAAATACGTGGTTTTTGAGCGTTTTTGTTGAATATGTTGTGTTTTTTCCATCTTTGATCATATGAAAGATCAAAGTTCTTGAGAGATATATTGTTTTTGGTGTATTAATCCTTAGCTCTATTCTAGGCTGCTTGCTTTTTGTAGCTCTATTGGTCTTTAATGATAGGTGGTCTTAATTTATGAATGGCAAAATTCTTCGCCCAATAACATCTTGAAACATAGAGATTCATTGTGTCAGTTGGTACCTCATGTACATATTAGTATATAGGTACAGTACTAGCTAGGTATACAGCTATTGCAAAGACGGTATATATATATATACATATACATATATATATAGCACGTGGTATTTGCATTGGTGGTTTTTGCTATTGGACTGCCAGGTCGCCGTGTAGTTAACGGTTGACACGCAGTTCCAGTGGAACCCTTTTAGCAAATGAAAGTGCAAATTCCAATCTACTGTCCCTGCTCAAGTAGTTGCAATATTTTTTGCATACTTCATGGCAACTTGCTGCATCAATGCACAAACAAGGCAGCCATTCTATAGATACAATTGTTTGGTAAGGTTGCTTAAGTGTTTCTTTTACTTGATTTTGTGCACTTTTGGTTATCATGAAAAACGTATACTGACATAATTTAAGTTTTACCCACAGTCATGAGTACATTTATGGTACTAAAATGTCTGCCGTTGTTTGAGCAGTAACACAGCAACTTACCATGGAATATGCAGGAAAAAGCACCGTTTCTGAAGCAAGGGGGAAATGGAAGTGCCATTGGAATTTGCCAACTCTTGTGATCAACCAATATTTTAAGCAAAGAGCTGTTACCGCATTAAAACCTGGAAGAATACCATTGCATATGCAGGAAAAATGTACAAAACTTGTGTCTGTAAGGGCATAGGTGACTTATACGCCACCCATTCCATAACTGTATGTACTATAGAAGAAAAAATGTATATAGTATGTAAAATATCTGCATTCCAAGTGCATATGCAGCTTGGATGTGTTGACACAGCAAATGGCTATGGTGTCTGCAAAAAATGTATTGCTTTTATCACAAGAAACCCTCTAGATATCAGTGCATGTTTTAAGCTGCCATTTCTACTGTATATCTACTGCACACTTGTGACAATGCGCTTGCATACTGGTTGAAACCATTCACCCACTAAAGCACAAACAACACCTGAAACTTTTCATACAGTATATAGATCAAAGAACGAAGAGCAGGAGTGAGTATTGAGCAAAAGGATGGAGAAGGGACCCCTTTCTATATGAATGCATTCTGGGAGATGCTACTTCCTAGCCCAATGTGTTGTGTGTCATAGCTGTTTTCTGTTAAGCTTTATAAACAGCCTTAACTCTTTTTGGGTGTTACTCATCCTGTCATAAAAGCACAGCCAAACAATTATGGTAACAGGGTATCTGCATAGATGTGCAGTGGCATAGCAAATTACTATGAAATATGCAGGAAAAAAACATATTTTTGGAGAAAGGGTAAGTTGGAGTTGCCCTTGCCATGCGCCAACTCTTATGATCAAAATCAGTTGCAGCCAAAAAAGTCTTTATTGCATTCAATCCTAGAAGAAATCCATTACATATGCACAGTACGTCTGGAAATTGTGTTTATGTGTTGGCATGCGCTACTTATGCACCATCCATATCATAGATGCATACAGTAGAACTACCAAGGAAAATACAAGTTCATCAATATATATATATATACACTTAATATGGCTACAGTGACATTCTAAACACATATGCACCTTGGGTGTGCTGATACTGCATATGGCTATGGCATATGCAACATCCATGTTGCCTATATCACAAGGAGCTCTTGAGACATCAATATCTACTTGAAGACTGCCATTTATATGGTATATAGACATACTGTATACTTGTAGCAAGATTATTATATACTATCATACCTGAGACTATTTCCTCACTAAGCACAAACATTACATGATTTCTTTTACGCACCAGATCGAACAATAAAGATTTAGTGATTTAGTCTATCATTTACTCAAACATATGGAACAACACACCATCTCCACATAAAGCATGATGCGTGTTGCTATTTCCCATTGTGTTCTTTCCTTGCAAATTAAGCCAATGTTCTTACCATTTTTTGGGGGGGGCAGCTGCTCATGCTACGTCACGCAGTTTCTCAGGCTACGTTATGCCGTTGTGTTACTTGCCGCTGGCTTAATATATAAATTTTGCAACTTAGAAAAATGTACGTTATTCTTTTCTTGCTCGATATGCCTTCCTTTTCCCTAACTTAGAAAAATGTACGTTATTCTTTTCTTTCATAATCCGTTTCTTCCTTTCGTATTCCGTTCTTGTCTATGCAGTAGTCCGTTCCTTCATTCCATGTTCCGTCAATAGACTTTCATAGTCCGATTGTTCACGTTAGCTTTCTGTGGCCGGCCGTTAGGGAGGGGCTATATATAGGAGGGCTAGGCTAGGAGAGGGGGGATCTAAAAAAAAAACTTGTTTTTCTTTTTTTCCCCTTTCGATCCCCTCTACCCTGAGGGAAGCAATATATATATATATACACACTATTTTTTTCCTCCTTCCTTCCTTTTCCCTGGGGATCTGTGGCTCTCTGGGAATCTCTAGCAATACCTTGATGTAACAGAAACACTGCCTTCCTTGGGTGAGGGATCAAAAAAAAATCCCGTGGGGATCAAAAAATAAATATTTAAGGCATCAAAAAAAAATATTCCCCTGGAATCCCTTGTTTGATATGGCCCTTGCACCAGTTTGGAGATAAAACCGAGCATTTCTGTCGTATTTGCATCGTTTTGATGTTTTGGAAGTGGAGCCTCTCGCACGTAAGGTTTTTGCAGGAAATTGGACCTAGAATCGAGCATTCGCAGGGCTCGACGCTGCCGTTTCGACAGCACATGCAACACTTTGGAGATCGAATTTTTGATTTTCTCGTTGCTTTCAAACTTACGTTGGTTTAAAGTTTGTTTAAGTTTGGTTTAGGGTTGATTTAGGTTTGTTTTGATGCCTATTACGTTGACTTAGGTTGGTTTACGGTTAGTTTAGGGTTGGGCTATGGTTTACTAGGTGTCTATTCAGGGTTGGTAAAAGGTTTATTTAAGTTTCGTTCAAATTTTGTTTAAAGTTATTTAAAGCTGTTTGGTGTTTATGTAGGGTTGGTTTAGGGTTTATTTTGATTTCGTTCAAGACTTTGTGGTTTGGGTTTCGTTTGGGATCTATTGAGGGCTGGTTGTTTGTTTATTTAGGGTTGGTTTAGGATTTGTTTAGGGTATATTTAGGGTTGGTTTTAGGGTTTGTTTAGGGTTGGTATTAAGATTTGCGTGGTGCTGCTCAAAGTTTATTTAGGGTTGATTCAGGATGTATTTGGGATTGGTTCGTGGTTGGTTTAAGTGTTTGTTAGGGTTGGTTCAGGGTTTCTTTAGGGTTGGTTTAGGGGTTATTTTGGGTTGGTTTAAAGTCTATGTAGGTCTTGTTTCCGGTGTCTTTACGGTTGGTTTAATGATTTATTTATTTCTGGTTGGTTTAGGATTTATGTAGGGTTGGTTTGTGGTCTGTTTGTGGTCTGTTTGGGTTTGCTTAAGAATTATTTATTATTTAGGGATTATTTATGCTTGGCTTATGGTTTTTTAGGGGTGGCTTAGGGTTTATTTGAGGTTGGTTTAGGGATTATGTGCGATTGGTTTAAAGTTGATTTTGGTTTCGCTTACGACTTATTTAAGGTTTGTTTAGGTTTCGTTTCGGGTTTATGTAAGATTTGTTTAGGGTTTATTTAGGGTTAGTTTAGGGCTGGTTGAGGGTTGGTTTAGGATTCGTTTAAGACTTACTTTGGCTTCGGGGGTAGTTTAGGAGTTATTGAGGCAGATTTAGGTTCTTTTTACGGCTGGTTGAATTAAGGATTATCTTCACAATGCTTTAAGGCACCAGAGCCACCAAAGGACGGAAAGACCAAGTGACCAGAAGACCCAGAGGACCAAGGGACCAGGGGACCAAGGGAGAGGCCTGAAGGACCGGGAGATTCAAGAACCACAAGATTTGAAAATGGCATAAACGGGCCAAAACACTACACAGCACCAGCGCAGGAAAATTGAATATTTTGTGTGATCCCTTCAATATTTTTTTTGATGCCTTAATATTCTTTTTTTGAACCCGATGCTTCCAAAAAAACGTTGAAAAATGGTGACCTGACAGCGTCCCTTTCTGTATATAAATGTATATAATATGTGTGTATAAACATATATATGTGTGTGTGTGCGCGCGCTTGCGGTGCGGCGTGCGGGCGTGCGGCGTGCGGGTTTTGCGGCGTGCGGTGCGGGCGGCAAGCGGGCGGGTGCGTGCTTGCGTGCGTGCGTGCCTGCGTGCCTGCGTGCCTGGCGGCCTGCGTGCCTGCGTGAGTGCGTGCGTGCGTGTTGCGTGCGTGTGCCGTGCGTGCGCGTGCGTGTGCGCGCGTGTTGAGTGCGTGTGCGTGCGTGTGCCTGCGTGTGCGTATGTGCGTGCGTATGTGCGTGCGTGCCGTATGCGTGCGTATGCGTGCGTATGCGTGCGTATGCGTGCGTATGCGTGCGTATGCGTGCGTATGCGTGCGTATGCGTGCGTATGCGTGCGTGCGTGCGTGTGCGTGCGTGCGTGCGTGCGTGTGCGTGCGCGTGCGTGCGCGTGCGTGCGTGCGTGCGTGTGTACGTGTGTACGTGTGTACGTGTGTACGTGTGTGTGTGTGTGTCTGTGTGTGTGTGTGTGTCTCTGTGTGTGTCTGTGTGTGTGTCGTGCATGCATGCATGCATGCATGTATGTCTGTATGTTTGTCTTGTCTGTCTTGTATGTCTGCCTGCCTGCCTGCCTGCCTGCCTGCCTGTCTGTCTGTCTGTCTGTATGTATGTATGTATGTTGCTATGT